AGACGCTTTTACTACAATAAATATGTGTTACCATCTGTCCTATTTTCTCTGCTTCTTCCGGGTATCATGGGCCATATGAACGCAGACTATCTGCACGACGCTAACAGTCAAGTTATGTCAGCTGTAGGTGGATCCCCAGTGATCGGATGAATATCAGATGTACTCAAACTGCTCGCTTTTGCGTTGAGATAGCCTTTTCCATAGTTTGTTTTTCAGTTACCGGTAATATTAGTCCAGTTGATTCAAAGGAGGTGTTTGAAAAGTATAGGCTAAGATATTAAAACAACTTGTAATTCCTTGCCATAAATAGCAATTTTAGTTTGAGCACTAGGCTCATAGAAGACGTGTTAAATAGGGCACGGTCTGGTAACTCCAAGGAAGGCTAGACCTAGAATAATATGTCACAAACAAACGATTATTTTCTGGCTTTGCATGAATGGTTTATGATTAATTTAATGACTCTCTTGACTATTCAGCAGACTTATACTACTATATAGGCCACAGCATATTTGGAAATAGAAATGAATGGCTGTTTCTGTAATGCACGGTTGTGTGAAAGAGAAGTATTTAATCAATTTTACTAATGTCGGTTGGTCTAAATCTAAATTCATAGACAAGATGCCCATCGACAAGAACCTGGGAAGCAATGATAAGTTATGCCGGAATGGAAAGAAAGGTAGCATTGGAAATGATTGAGAGGTGAGAAATGAAGTTGTAGACAAACAGTTGATGTTTCAAAATATACCGTAGTCTATAGTCCATACTCATACTGTCATAGGACATTTCAGACTGTGATATATCAAAATTTAGTGTAGATATAGTCTAGTAATGGTATGCAAACACTGCTGGACTGTAGAACATGCAATGAGCATATATACGCTCATTTAGTACATCAGATCAAATGCATTATGTATTCAAGGTATTAGTTAGTATTTAGGGGTATTTTTAAAATCATGCTGCTCCAAATATTATTTTCTTCCTTATTTTAGATACTGTACTACAAAGAAAACGGCAATGTTCCACCAATCCGACCTAACGCAGGCTCTGATCCCTGCTGCTATCAGTGCTATAAAATGGATTAAACAAGAAGTCTTGAAGCTTAAGGTATATGAGAATCATAATAGTTGCAAACAGCTTAGATGGGCTATTCATATTGAAATACTTTAGCACTTTCTGCAATTGGAACTGCCCATCAAATTCATGTTGGAGACTTCATTGAGATTTTCAATTCATTTTTTTTCCCTCGACTATGAAGATCTTTTGAGGGTTAACGATGGTATTAATAAATAAAGCTGAGGAATTTGAAAGAGGATATGAAGATGTAAATGATACCAGGGCACGTCTATTTAACACTGTCAAACATAAGGATTATACTCTCCACCCAACAATGATTCACTGAAGAAGCATGTGGCCCTCAAATCAGTTCTTGAGTTGGCAAACTGCAAAGAAAAATAGTCAAAATAATTTATGAAAGTGTGCCAAAATCAACTTAAATTGCACAGATTTTTGTTTTTGTATTGACTGCAGAAATCACAGTACACCTATAGAGGAAAAGTCGATTTTTGAGATAGTGGATTTCGAAAAACAATTCAGAAGAAAGTGAATTAGATATTACAGTTGATTTAATAAGTATCATACATTTGTTTTTTTTTCGGACATTTGTTAGTGTCGTAGTCCTGTTTCTAGAAATATTATTGCCTTTGTTCAAATACATAACCACATAAACTAAAAAAAGATTAATTGTAAATTGTAATACTTCTGTTCACTATGTTATGTACATATTGTACATTCATTTAATTTTCTTGACTTTTGCGGTAAATTTCTAAGTGAGAAATAACTGATTTATTTGTGTTTTCGTGCTCACGATGTTAATTTGTGACTTCATTGCTTAAAAATAAATACGTTGATACTTGATAGCTTCTATAAAATGGATGTAGCTTTTTATGCTGTTCTTGTTGTAAACTGCTTGTGGTTATTACATAAAATTTATTCTCAAATGTGAATCAGCGTTGTTGGTGTCGCTGCTTTCGAGGTCACTCCCGACTCCTGTCACACAATTAAAGTATTTTTTTGTTGTTGGTTACATGTATGCCATATTTTTCGTAATCTACCTAATAAATTATGATTGACTGAGGAAGTCCGATTTTGGTCAGGCAAAACATTACAGGAATACATTTGTGTTAGTGTGCTGTAGGGCTCTCGAATTGTATAGTTCTTATGTATGCGTTGTAAACTTATGGTTATTGAATTTCCGGGAACCTCTTATATTCAATTTCGCACCAGGATTGGGGAACAAGCTGTAATGCGTTCATTATGTTCGTTTTCACACAAAACTGAAGAATTTATTTAGTTACCAGATGTGCGCTACGAAACTCATTTTCTGGGCGTTTTCATGGTTTCGTCTCACGGCCCATATCCGTGGTAAGGATCTACAAGTGTTTAATAATTTACTTATACATTTTTCAACAACGTCTTAGCATAACTTAACTAATAATAATAACTAAACAGGGCTATGGAAAGCCTGCCCAACTCAGCGCAAGGTCGAGCAGAAATAACTAATATTCATCCGCTCGCTAACAGCTGGTTTAATTCAATTGTTACGTCATGCAGAAGTCATTGTTCAGTGCCGAAAATGTAGAGAATATAGGACAGATCGTAGCACATATTTCTTGTAGTAAAAGCGTCTTTTCCGTAAAACGTGCAACTTTTGGAAGTGGGAACAAGGCAATATTTGTTACTAAATTTTTAAGGAACATTTTAAAATCATTTTCAGGTAGTTACCTGATGTGCGCTACGAAACTCACTTTCTAGGCGTTTTTCAGGGCCTCGGCTCGCGGCCTACTTATATCTTCAGCTCCTACGAGATATATACCTATATAAATATTCCTACCTCCAGTAGCAGTAGAAAATGACGAAGTGACTGATGCAAAATAATTGTAATCAGAATATTTAATTATTCGTACATAAAGTGAAAATTAGTTTTTAAATCTATTATACAACAGCAAAAGCGTTTTGTTATACATGCATATACATCACAAATGATATCAAGAATTTGTACCCGAAGACACTTGAATGAAAGGATGATTTTATATCAAATTGTTATATAACACTATAAAATTCAATGGCCACAAAAATGCATGATATCACTTTTTAGCCAAAATAATGGTCAACCTGTGCAAAATAGAAATATAAAATATAAACCTCGATTTATACGTTGATAGATCGCAAAAGAAATGACATGATTTGATAATTGTACTACTTATCGAAAAGATTTTTAACCTTATTCAATTTATAGTACAAACAGCAACAAATAATATATTAAAATCAAACACACTGCCATAATAACGAATGTACGTTGAAGGGAACACTGCGGTAAACCGGTTAATTTTACCCGGTTAACGGTTAAGTGTTTTCACTGAAATTCCCAGCTCTAATTAATCCCTAAGTTATAGTACAAACAGCAACAAATAATGTATGAAAATAAACCCACTGCCATTATAACAAATGTAAAAAAAATCTCTAACATTTTAATTTTTAACTGCATAAAAAACACAAAAACATGGTCAACAAGGGAACTGATTTGAATAGTTTTTCAATTCAAAATTTCATTTTTTTAACATCCCTATTCCTTTATTTCTGGCAACATGCTTTTGATTAAAATTTGCCATATTGTTTTGTTACCATAATAAGCACAACAAACCCAGTTCGATCATTCCCAAACTTGATTAGTATTCAAATACTAACTCCTTACAAATCGTTAGATATAATTGGATACTTGCACATGGCGTTGATAAGAGCTGTATAAAAAAGTATGGCCTCGGTTGATACCAGTTAATATCAGAATCTCCCAGCAAAGCTTACTACACACAGCTACTAAGATTAAAATTTAACATAGCTAGATTAGGATTTACATATTTGACCTGGAGGAGAGGGGCCTTGTTTAAAGAAAAAGATGTCGTATAAAAAATATGCCCTCAGTTGATCCCAGTTAATATCAGAATTCTCTAGCAAAGCTTACTACAAACTACACTAATATTGCAAGTGTAGATTACAAGTTTACATTGCTAGATTAGCATAAGAGTTACATATCTATCTCGGGGGAGAGGATAGACGATGAAGCATCTTAATCTTAACCACAGCCTCAAGCCCAGTTAGGTAGCAAGTTATTTGTTTCTGGAGCATTGACTATTCAAACATTATTCCTTTTTATAAAACATGTTGGTAAAAATGCTGTAAAATCCAGTAAAGGTTTCGACTCCATCGTGACATTTTTGCTGATTGACTACATCCGCCAGTGCATATCCTTCCTTCTCATCCATCTCAGATAATTCTGTTCGAACTGTGTAACGAAAGTATGGCACAGGACTGCGAACCAGCTGTGTAAATAGAGCAATATTATTAGGATTTGGATAATAATTTCTTTGGTGAAATTAGATTAAAGTCAATTCATGAAAAAAACTTTCTCGTAAGTCGGCGGTTCCCAAACTTTTTCTTCGTGCGGCACCAAATTATTAGCGAAAGACTCGCTGCATATTTACACGCAAAAGAAATGTTGCTTTTAAATAAAACTCAATTTTGTGGTCGTTAATGTGTACTTCATGTCTTTTAAAGTGTGTAAACATGTAGGTCTAATAAATGAGGGACAAAAGTCAACTCTCCTCCCTCATCTTTGCAAGATTTACCTTTGAAATGAGCACTTAGCAACTCCCTTATGCGGCACACCCTTTGAGAACTGCTGCCTTAGGTAAAAGGCTTAAGTTACACAGTAAGATAATGAACAATGAAGCCCAATTCTGAACTAGAGCTCTTTGCTTAGAAACCCTTTGTTTCTGAGTGAGTGCGGTGTCCTTTCGTCCGGTTACCAGTCTATGTCGGGTATGGAATTAGTTAGCATGTTATTTGTTCGGAAGACATGGACTTGATGATGGAGGAAGACGTAACCGTTGGTTATGTGAACCACCCTTCGGCGGTGAGAGTCCAGCAATCCTCTTGCACACAACTATCCCCGCATGGAATTCGAAACTGCAAACCCAGGCAGGGTAATCCAGAGGTGCAGTGGCGAGCGTATTCCTAACGCTTAGCATGATGCGCTACACCGCCGAGCCAAGCCTATAGGAAAAATTCATTTGAAATTTATGTCATTTTCAGTACTTGACATCAGTCAGATGAGAAAATAAAATTTTTCCAAACAAATTAGAATACATTGGGTATTCCATATTCAAAATTCTCTTTCGAATGTATACATGATGCAAAATTATTCTTACTTTTGAGTGAGTGCATGCGACCTTTGAGTAAACCAATATGATATATTACAGTTGTATTCATTTATACAAAGCATAACAATCAAGTTGTAATGAACTGTGCAGACAATGCTCAGAAAGTCTCCAATACTCTCAAAAACATAATGCCCTCCATATCAAGGGAAAGTTTGGGGAACCTGAAGACTTGTTTAAGCATAGGTGTAAAACACCCTACATAAATTTACTAAGAATTTACACAAAAATAGGAAAAGTACTTTCAGCATTTTATTTGATTCATTAACGGTTTATACCTATATACGCAACCACAAGAATGTTCGCTATGGACATTTCTTTTTTTTTTAATTATTGGCAATTGTTGTTTATTTATTCATATATCCTGATGGCCAACTAAAATTTTTTTTAAAACGGCACTAACACCTGATTCTGCTGCATGCCTTTACCATTAAATTCAATCGAAATCAAAAGAAAATTTTCCTTTCATGAAAATATTGTTGCTCAGTATTGCAATATTCATGGAATTGTCTCTCAGCATTTTATTTGATTCATTAACGGTTTATAACTATATACGCAACCACAAGAATGTTCGTCAAATCAGATGTAAGTTTAGATTTAAATAAGATCAAACTTTTCAAGAAATAAGGTGAGCAAGATCAAATCTAACAGATATTTTTTATTTTAATTAGCTTCACGTGCCCTCAAAAATGATCTATGCCCCCCTCATGGGACACGCCCTAGCGTTTGAGAACCACTGATTTAGAGAGACATGTAATAATCTTAGCCATAGTAAAGGATCATGAAAAAGGCAGTCCAAGTATACAAAGAAAATATTCTCCAGAAGTACCTTATACAGCATAGAATCCTTTAAGTTATTGTTAGCCTTCAACTGTTGATGAATAAAATCTGTTTTCATCCAATCTTTCCAGTTTGATTCCATGTCTTCAGCAGAGATGGATTCATCAGCTGTTTTAAAAAAACACATTGAGTCAGCATGATGAGAGGTTAACAATAGCTCATATTAGGTGTACGCAATCTTCAATACCGGAGGGTTAGATAGAAATAACTGGGTGAAACCGCAGGCCGAACCTTTATTCAACATAGGCTTTCTAGTAGTTGAAGCTTTGCATGCGCAAAAATTTTGGTGATTGATCTTGTGACATACGTTGTTCGCACAAGCTGGCTGTTAATAAGGCATTGTAAAGTCATAGGCATAGATAATAAATTGGACTCGGGTATAGGGTTCGCAACGCAAAAGAAATTGGAATTACTCGCACATACCAAATTAAATTGAAAAACTCGTTTCACGAGCCGCATATCATTCAAAATTGGCACTTCTGCACGGGCCAAACAGATTCTCCCTGGGGGCCACATTTGGCTTGCGGGATTTGGAATCCACCCCTGGCTTATATTATGGTGTTTTCTCACTTCAGCAGAGCCTCCAAAGTCCAAACATTGAGAAGTAAGATGAGAGGTTTGGGTAGACTAACAATAACTTATATCAGTGGTTATACCGGAGTTCCGCGTCACCCTGGCGTTCTGCCATCATGGTCCAGGGGCTCTACGAGTTTCTATTCGAATCCGAAAGTCAATATAGCTGAATTAATACTGTAATCAAATACCAACTAGGTTTGCCAATAATATTAAACTTGCTACACTTTAAAGATTATTTTGTTTTGTCAATATTAGGTCTTCTTCTATATATATTTATAGTTTATACCAGTGGTTCCCAACTGAGGGATCTTGGCCCGTTGGAAGGGGACCACCATGCCGAGCGCAAAACTGATTTTACTTTTACTAAAAAACTTCTCGTTCTTCCTAGTTTCATTGCTTGATAAGGTTATCTTCCACGGTGTTATCCCTTTTTTGAGCATGAATTGGTTGGGCATAATCGGATTTGGAATCCACCAATCAAAGTAACACTATAAATACCACCAGAATGATAAAGAGGGGGGGGGGGGGCATGAGATTTGCTTTTTACAACTGGGGTCGACAGTAAGTTAAAACAAATTTAAAGATGAAAAATGGATGAAAACTTGGTTTTGTTCCTTTCAAAGAAACTTCAATTTGCATCATTAAGTGACTTCTCTAATTGATTTTTTAGTTATGTAAGCTGACCTGTAACACCAGTGATCAGAAATCTTGCAGTCTCAGATCTTTCTTTTGGTTCTGTGTCAAGGGGATTGCCATTGTATGATGCTACTTCACTGTATTGCCCTGCATTTATAAAAAATAATAAAATACTTTGGTTTGGATAGGTTTAACTTGGAGAGGAAGGAAATGAAATGGCTTAATAAAATGTCTTGTCCCTTCTCCAGTCCATGTCTGGCATTGAAATATATTAAACAATTATTTGTTTTAGATGCAGACTTGATGGTGGACGAATGGCTTTTTGTAGTTAAATGGAGTATTTCAATACAACCATAGGTTTTAAATAATTTGCTTTTGCACAACCTTGAAGCTCATGATGCCTCCTATGTATTTAAAGGACTTATTTATGATCTTATTTACAGGTCCTACAATTTCTCTGTTTCTCCCCATTTATGGTTTATTTAGTTTCTATTCACCACAATGTACATTGTATTCATACTAACACCCCATGTATCGAATGCCCATCTTTCAAATTCTAGTAGCTTATCATGTCCAAGTGACTACTTATACTACATAGCAGCTTATAGAGTAAAAGGAAATTCAACATTGAATTTGACAAAATTTGATCCCAAAAAAAAAATAATACAAATGGGGATCACTGATATAATGATACTCTACCTGGCTTAGGAGTCAAACCAAGCTTAGCTCCTTCTTTCATTCTCTCAAGCCACCGAGGATCAGGCTTCCCAAATATACAGATGTCATCAGAATCGCATACGACGAAATTAACCCACTCGAATCTGAAAAATGAACAAAATTAAGGGAATGTCAATATCTTGGCAGATTCACCCCCTAAAAACAAACCCATAAATTTCTCAATTAGCCTACCTCAACGAAGATTTATTCAACACCTAATCTTCTGCCTGTGTATGACTGTACCCAAAAGCTTCAGTTATCTAGAATGCTTTCCACAAAAAAAAGTTACTACCTCCACAGACTATTTTCCGAATGACCCTTGTTATATTTGTTTTTGCGGTCACCCTGTGTTAAATAAAATAATAAAGTAGGCCTGGACCATTGTCTGGCTCAGTAGTGAGGATGTTGTACTAGGCATCAAAGAACACAAACTCCGTACTGCGGACTGCATTGTCAAGGTTCGAATTCTCAAAGGAGACTAGTCGGGATTATCAGCTGACACAATTGGTAATTAACCATGGCTTCCTCAACCATTCAGGTAGGGCTCAGGAGGTTGGCATATCATGGTAAGGGTTAGGGATACACTATACATACTACCACACTTCTGATTACCCATAGGAAATAATAAAGTGTAAAATTGCTAGACTTGTCGCCATAGGTTAGTATAGGTCATGTAACAACTGGACAGTTACCACTTCCTCTCTTCCAGGATAGTTTATTAGAAAATCCTATATTATACTAATCTAGATTGATAAACTGCCTAATTATTAATTCATATGATCCTGGGAATTGTTGCAAGATGACAAATCAGGGTTGGTGCATGATTAGACAGTTTGCTACTGGGAACACATATCAAAGTATCAACTTTTTACCTAGTGTTTGGTCCTTTTGAATTGTGCAGGTGCAGGGAGATGAAGTGGTCTCTGGCCTGAACATATTTTGATGTTTCTGTCCAATTCTTGACAAACTCCTTTTCTTCAAGAGGAGGTTTTTCAAAGTAGTTGAACAAGAAGACTCGATTGCTCAATGGAGCAAAAACTCCAGATTTTGTTGCCTTTAAAGAAGAATAAATAAAATAACAAGAATAAGAATAAAATAAGACAAGAATAAATGCTTGTCTCAATAATAATCTAAATTAAACGCGGCCGTCACGCGACAAAAATTGCCGTTTTTTGCTAAAAACTCCCAAATGCCATCGTAATTTTTTTCCTTTGGTAAATCGGATTATTTTTTCCCTAGGAATTTAATGATGATGCTTTTAGATTGCACTATTTTGTAGTATTTTGCGCAACTTCATTATACTGTATTTCTACCGATATTGAGGGACAACAATGTCCAGACGTCTCCCAAAGAAGGGGTGACTGATCATCAGTAAAATAGGTTTCTCTGAAACGATACATTGTCGCTCGATCTGTATATTGTGCCCTACTGTGATCTGGACTCAGTACTTAGTAACTGATTGTTTTGATGACTCTGAATGATAATTTCTAAAAATCAAACCCTCTATGTATAATATACCATTTGCACCAACTCCTGCACTCAGAAAATAAATGACTCATCTCAGGACGAAGTCAAAGGGTAACCATTCAGCCAGTAAAATATCAAGAGATACCAAAACCATATATACGGTAGTTTATAAGTAGTCTAGGGAAGTTTATTTCAAGTAAGTAAGTTTAGTAAGTTTATTTCAACTCCACCATCAGCATAACACAGTAACAGACAATAAAATGATTGATGAAAAAAAATAAATAAAAACTTAACATGAAATCAGGAGAGTAAACAAAACCTTAGATCAGTAGATAAGGTTTAAAATGGACAGAATATTAGAAAAGGGTTTTGACAAAAAATCGTGGTACGTGTACTGTATTAAAATAATTCCCACATTAATACAGTTAATAGTGGTGCATTGTGCGCACATTAATCTGTAAATACTGAAATACCGTTGATAGAGATTATATACCGATATACGAACTAGAACTGTAGAAACAGTTTGAGACAATCAGATCTCCAAATAGTAGACTTTGACTTTCGACCAATTGACTTTGCTCTTCTGCACAGCAATATTAAATTTCGAGAATACCATCAAATTTATCTCTACATTGAATAGTCTCACTTGAGCTCAGAATTGGGAAAATAAAAAATAAAAAATACTTGAAATCTATTTTTATTACCATATTCAGATATTAGCTATAATAATAATATTCACAAATATTTTTTCAAGACCGGGCAAATTTCTAGCCAATTACTTTTCTTACCAATTTTCTGACAAATATCGTGGTAAACCGGCTCAGCATGGCAATTTCCGAGTTTAACAGCTGTAAAATATCGGGTCTCATGTACTTTCTTACCTGAATAACTTCTAGTGGGCGTGGCGTAACAATTTTTGGATATATGATTCCTGACCCCTACCTGATGACGTCATCCAAAAATTACGTCACTGCGACGTCACAATAACGAAATACAGCTTGCCAAAGTATAGCGACGGTCACCCGTAATGGCACCTACGAGTATGTCAACAAATTCAATACGTCAGCGACCTCTCTCTTATCGGGGTCGTTGTACAGAGCTCAAAAATAAACAAGAATCACAAGCGACTAATTGTCGCCAAGGAACGTTCACGATATCCCATTCTGACCAATTTCTGTCCAGCAATAGCTCATGTATCGTGATACAATCTAAAATAGAGCGTTATACGATACAACTCTAACCAAGGCTTTAGACAAGCAGAAAATACATGTTATTTTACGCAATGGTTGAAGTTGGGTACCACACACATAAAGACTTATTATTTTATGTCCAGCAATAGCTCATGTATTGTGCTACGATCTATTAATAGGGTGATATACGATACCGCTCTGAGCTAGGCTTTAGACAAACAGAAAGAACATTTAATTCACGCAATGATTGAGGTTAGGTGCCGCAGACATAAAGACTTGTTATTTAATATCCAGAGACTGATCATGTATTGGGCCACATTTTATTAATAGGACGTGGAACGCTTTCACTCTATGCGAGGCTTTAGACAAGCAGAAACCGACATATTAATTTGCCTTAGCGCAATGGATGTAGTTTCTTACCTCGATAACTTATACTTATCTTAGCGTAACAATTTTTGCATATATCATTCCTGACCCTCACCTGACTTCGTCATCCAAAAATTACGTCACTGCAACGTCACAATAACGAAATAGAGCTTGCTCAATAATAGCGACGATTACTATTAATGCCACCCATGGATGTAGTTTCTTACCTCAATAACTTATACTTATCTTAGCGTAACAATTATTGCATATATTATTCCTGACCCTCACCTGACTTCATGTTCCAAAAATTACGTCAATGCGACTTCACAATAACGAAATAGAGCTTGCCTAATAATAGCGACCATAATGCAATCGTGATAAATACGTCTGTGTGTCCGCTATGGATGTAGTTTCTTACCTCAATAACTTCTAGTTAACTTAGCGTAACAATTTTTGCATATAATATTCATGACCTTCACCTGACTTCGTCATCCAAAAATTACGTCACTGCAACGTCACAATAACGAAATAGAGCTTGCTCAATAATAGCGACGATTACTATTAATGCCACCTATGGATGTAGTTTCTTACCTCAATAACTTATATTTATCTTAGCGTAACAATTATTGCATATAATATTCCTGACCCTCACCTGACTTCATGTTCCAAAAATTACGTCAGTGCGACTTCACAATAATGAAATAGAGCTTGCCTAATAATAGCGACCATAATGCAATCGTGATAAATACGTCTGTGTGTCCGCTATGGATGTAGTTTCTTACCTCAATAACTTCTATTAGGCTTAGCGTAACAATTTTTGTATATATGATTCCTGACCCTCACCTGACTTCGTCATCCAAAAATTACGTCACTGCATCCTCCCAATCACGAACTAGAGCTTGCCTAATAATAGCGACGATAATAAAGCCGTAATAATGGCGCTTGCGAGTACGCTATGAGTGTATTTTTGTACCACACAACTAAAGCCTTGGTATTTGATGTCCTTCCGTACGTCATGTATTCGTCCTACCTTTATTCATAAGACGTTAAACAATGTTAAGATCCTTCAAATGTTAATACCCCTACAATGTTTCCAGACCTTTTTCATCTTGCGGTTCACTAACAGCGAAATATTAAGAAAATGTTTTCTGTTCTCATACCGATCTTTGAACACTCGCTCGCTAAAATTGGTTAACAGAAATTTGACATAGTGGAGGAAGTGGTATAGTATTTGATCTCCAAGTAGTTCAGGGGAAATGTGAAAAAGGATGAAAGAAGACAATATTTATAGGCTCTTCAATTTTCTAACTGTTGAAATTTGGAATGGATTCGACTTCAAGCGCAATCGATAATTAAGCATTCGTTCACAATCCTGAGTTAATTTCCAGGATGCATCTCTCATCTATCTGTCGTTACGTTTTAAATAGAACTTATAATCATATTGGATGATTGTAATGAGCAATGAGCTCAATAGGTAAATTATATGAGTAATTGTCAATTTCGTTTTTAATGTTTATGAAATGATCTATTCAATTTCCTCAGCACAGAAGCATCTTCTGACAAACTTCCGAAAAAAGAAAACTTTAAATACAATGATAGCAACGGCTATGTATAGGAACCCAATATGTCTAAACGTTTGTCCTTCGGTAGAACGTGGGTGTTCTATAAAATTATAGCGCTTTTCAAAATTGAAATAGGCACCAAACAAAGCCAAATTTTAATCAGAACAAGTAAAATGCCTATGTCATAGTCGCGCAGAGAAAGGGGAGTAAAATGGAAATCACAAATACAGCACACATTAAAGTAGTGCATAATTATTCACACGTCTGTCTCAAATATTTTCATTGTCCTTTTTGAGAATCTGAGTACCCTGTGTCAAAAGTCTTCCGAATCCGCCTATAGGGATAGAATGTCAAGATCCGTAAAATATTTGTCTTGTCTTTGTATATGTGGCACTACACTCATTGGGGGACCGTAAATTAATATGCCTGTTTCTCATTATCCAAAGTCCATCCAAAGTCTTAGTCCGGCAGATAAGGGGACCTTTTTGGCCCAAGTTTGATTTCAGACATAAAGTTTTTTTTATTTGTGAGTATTCCTCTTGGGGTCATTGCCCATCATTTCTACATGGGTGTGGAGTTTGCAGCCTTGAGCACTTTTTTTACGGCTCGATATTTGTATTAGTGTTTTTGTCAAACCTGTGCATCATAATGACGCACAACCTGAACCATAACCTGTTACAATACTATGTTCAGGTTGTGCGCAATCTTGGTGCACAAACTACGCAAGCACCAAATTTACTAGGAAATAAAATCGATACCTTCTAGGTATTTGTTGAGCCCAGCTTTGGGTCGCGACCCATATACAGTATATGGAAATACTGTCGAAACATACGCGTAAAATAAAGAGTACTATTTCAAAATACCCGTTTTTTGTTGCAATTAACAGTACAAGCCTGCTAATGTAGTCGCCAGTGGTTCAAGTGGATATACACCCGGTGGAGAACAGTCAATTATTTGTTGGCGAGAATTGTTATGCAGCGGGATGATCACGACGACGCAGTGAAAGATAATGATATCACGAGAACAAGAATGAGAAAATTGCTACATTTTATAGAATATCCCTGGGAAAGAATGTAGTTCATTCTTATGTTCCATGCCAATGCTTTTCATTGGCTACTACCACTTTAACTACTACTTTAACTACCAAAGACTCTCAACACTTTTGCTTCTTCTCTTCTATAAAAATACATTGTTATTATATATTCGCATTTCCATCTGTTTGTTCGTGCTCCCAGATAACCGATCAGCGCCTCCAAGGAGGACGGGGTCCCCTTTCATGAAACCCTGTCATAAACTAAAAGAGGCGATCGTGCTTCACTTGCCTGTTGTCATGCTGTCCCTGGAATTCAGCTACAACAAAAATTTCACGAAAACGGATTTTTAAATTTTATGATTTCAATAATATTCTCAACAATGAATGATATACGGGTGGTAAAATGCCAAGTTATTCCAACAACATGATAATGTTTTGCAATTTACAACCAATATTTTGTATGTAACTTTGTTTGACAGAGCCCCAAGAGCTCTAACTACAAATATCAAAAATGTGAGGCTAAAATAGTCACACTACAACATTGTCAAATGTGCTGTATTTACGATAGATAACAGGTTTACCAAAAAGAATTACATGCAAAATGGTAAAATAAAGATCAATTCAGCAATATCTACTTGGTGATATTCATCTGTTGATGATTTTATGTGTTTGTTTCGGAAGTTTAATAACAGAAGTAATTGTGGTTGTTGGGGATGTTTTAAAAAAGGTTGTATGGAAAAAAGTTTTCACAAAATGTCAAGGTTTGATAGTAGTAGAAAAGTAGAAAAAATAATCCCATGTTTGTTTTTTCATTTCATAACCACGCCACAGAACTTCCCCGATAAGTATACGCAGCAATTGCGAGAGGCAGAAATGCTAAGATGGGATTTCATCGCATTACAAACCAATATTAGCAATTCTTATATATATATTCGCGCATTCCCAGCTGAACAGCGTGAAAAAGATTGTACCCATCTACACACTTTAAGAACTATGTCAGATGAGCGTCATATTATCGAATATCAGTAAAGGAATAGTGCAAAGGGAAAAGACATATAAGGCGGAACTTTCAGTAGTATGCAATCAAATAATCTTATTGTAGAATATATATTTAAAAACATTTCGTCACGCCAACTGCAGTCCGAAACTTTTTGTCTCTGGCTGAGCTTAGATACCAATTGGCACTCATGTAAACTGGTAAGACTGTAAGAGGCACGCGATGGAGCAGATACTAAGAGTATCCATCCCCCAGCTGTCATTTGAGTGGGTACTGCTGTTTTTATTGCAGATGTTACTGATCTTTTTGTATTAAAGATTTACTGGCATCATCGATTTAAGGATGTTGGAAACCAACACGCAATATTACAAAACTTACTTTCAACACGCGGTTTGAATGAATGAAAAAGCTGAAACTAGTATTCTTTAGAACAGCATACAAATTCTATGGAATGAAATCATACACAAAAGCTCGTCAAAAGCCTATAGCTCAATAATCAAATGGAATTTGATGCATGTGCGCAAAAATGTGCGCGTTACCACCTACAACCGAAGCACGCAGGAATATGCGTGTGATGTACTAGTATTCAAAACGTTTGACTCAACTATGTTGGCATAACAGGTGCACATCTCGGTTTCGCATACGCATACCTTCTATCTCCACAAGGATATATTAATTTTGCCAAAGTCAATGCAGCACTGAAAGGTT